TCTTTCTTTCTTTCTTTCTTTCTTTCTTTCTTTTTCTTTTTTTTTTTTTTTTTTTTTGCAGAACCAGGATTGAATTTAGGCCCTTGCACTTGCCATGGAAGCATTTATTCCACTGAGCCATCTCCCCAGCCCCTCTTTTTCTGTCTGTCTTTCTGTTTTTCTTTTCTTTTTGGGGGGTGGGGGCACAGGTTGGCTTTGAACTTGCTTTGTAGCCCAGGCTGGCCTGGAATCTATGCCAATCCTGCCACAGCCACCCAAGTGTTTTCAATCTTGACTGTTTTTTTTAAGTTTTTTTTTTTTTTCTTGCTTTTTTTTTCTTCAGTGGTATGAAGCAGGGGAATCTACATTCTTTTCCCTGTGTTGCAGTGTATATTGAAAAGACCATTCCTTCACCTACTGGACTGTCATTGTACTCTTACTGAAATATAGTTGGTCAAAATGAATTTAATTGTGGGCTCTCAGTTCTGTCTCTCTGATCTGTATGTTCTTTTGTTAGTACCACATCTTTTGTAGTCTACTTTTTTTTTTTTTTTTTTTTTTTTTTTATTTATTTGTGTGTGTGTGTGTGTGTGTGTGTGTGGCCAGCTCAGCCCACCAGGGGGCGAGGCTGGCTGACATGTGGTGCTGGGGGATTGAACTGTGGTCCCTGTGCTTTGCTAAGCTTGTTCTAAGTAGGTGCCTTAGACCACTGAGCCATCTCACCAGCCCCCTGTAGTCTACCTTTGTAGTAAGTTGAAATTAGGAAGTTTGAGCCTTCCACTTTGTTCTTTGTTGTTGTTTCTTTCTTGGCAGTGCAGGGTAACTCACAGCCTGAGCTACACTGGGCCTTGACTTTGTCTTTCTTTTATATATGTGTGTATATATATATATATATATTTTTTTTTTTATTTTTTTTTTTTTTTTTTTTTTTTTTTTTTTTTTTTTATTTATTTTTGTGTGTGTGTGTGTGTGTGTGTGTGTGGCCAGCTCAGCCCACCAGGGGGCGGGGCTGGCTAGCATGTGGTGCTGGGGGATTGAACCGCAGTCCCTGTGCTTTGCTTAGCTTAGTTTGTTCTAAGTAGGTGCGTCAGACCACTGAGCCATCTCACCAGCCCTTTGTCTTTCTTTTTAAAAAGTTTTATTTTAAATTTAGCTTTATTGGGGTTCCTTTCATTTTCATATGAGTTTGGAATCACTAGCATCAATTTCTGCAAAACACCAGTTAGGATTTTGACAAAGACTTAAGTTTTTTTTTTTGGGGGGGGACTGGGGATTGAACTCATGACCGTGAACTTGCAAGCCAAGCACTTATTTGACTGAGCTATCTCCCCAGCCCACAAGTTTTTTTTAGGAGAGGTTTATTTTTTGTTTTTGGTGCCAAGGGCCAAACCCAGGGCTTCCAGCTTGCTACGCAAGTGTTCTACTGCTGAGCCGAAGTCCCAGCCCTGAAAGACGCAATGTTGTCTCTGTAGATTGCTTTGAGGAGTGCAGTCATTTTGTCTTCTCCCGTACTGCAAGGTATCTTTTCATTAATTTATTAATCTAAGTAATTTAAAGCCCACTATTTTATTTTATTTTTTAAATTATTTATTTATTTATTACATTTATTTATTGTGTGTGTGTGTGGCCAGCTCAGCCTACCAGGGGGCGGGGCTGGCTGGCATGTGGTGCTGGGGGATCGAACCGCAGTCCCTGTGCTCTGCCAAGCCTGTTTCAAGTAGGTGCCCTAGACCACTGAGCCATCTCTCCAGCCCCAAGCCCACTATTTTAGAATTGAGAGATTGAGGAAGTTCTGCCCATGACTTTTCTGGAAGTTAGAACTTGGTAGATGAGAGGGCTCAGTAAATACTGATGGAGTGAACCTGTGAGTAAGTAAGTACTATTTCCTGTAAGGGAGATGCTTTGAGTTGCTCATGGAGAAGAGGTTGAAATACTAAGGTCTGGAGTTCTAAGAAATCCAAGGATGGGCCAGGGGTGTGTGTGTGTGTGTGTGTGTGTGTGTGTACGTGTACGTACATATGTACGTACTGGGAATGGAGCTCAGGGCCTTGCATTTGCCAGATGGGTTTGTGTCACTGAGCTGCATCCCCAGCCCCTGGTCCAGATTTTTAAAACTTTATAATGGCGTCAGGGATGTGGATTCTGGGCTGATATCAACAGGTGGACCTGGATTTGCATATGCTATCTGTGGATGCCTCATTCTCTTTGTTAGGGTGAGGGAGAGTTCAGAATTGGTGTCTGAAACTTCAGTAGCACACAAAAGTCATTGGGACAGCAGCTTCATGGCCAAATGAGATGATTGCCCTTTGTCCCTTGATGTCAGCTTGTCTGTAATCCACTGTCATGGGGCTTCCTGGATGGTCCTTGTGGCCCCAAGTTGACTTTCTAACAGTGCCTCCACTGTCACCTGTTGGTTTTCTTTAGTGCAGTTCTTTAGGTTCCTGATTTTTAGTGTTCTCGTTTTTCCTGAGATGCCAGCTCCTGGTAAGCATCTCTAGCTAGCTTCTCTAGCTTGATTTGAGCACCAAGTAGAGAGAGTAAGAATGGAGGTCTTTGGAAAAAGGACTGCATTCTAGACATTAGCTGTCTTTTGCTGTGTCGTTTTCTACAGTGTCTCAGCAGCCAGTGAGGCCCACGTCAAACTAAACTGTTTTGTAGTTTGGAAGGAGAAAAGGTCTTGCTGACCCTGGATACCTGATATTCCATTGGCCTCCCAGTATTTCTTCAGGTTTTCACACAAGAAGCTAGGCTCCTAGGACCTAGTTTGGAGTCTGTCCTCGTGGGTTCTGTCTTCAGAGAGAACTATGTGCTGCCCTCAGAAGCCGCCCCATGGTACTTTCTGTCCCTGGGGTTGAGGGAGTTGGTAACAGACATGTACACTTCCTGGAGGGAGAAGGAGAGGGCCCTGGGGACTGGGACAGGGTGCAATGTCCTGGATTTTGCTTCTCTGCACGTTTCACGTTTCCTTTCATACTGCAAGCTGCAGAGCTGTACCTGAACCCCTCTGGGGCTGGCACCCTGCTTCATATGTACCCCTGCTTTGGGGCCTGCACTACTGCCACTGGTACTGATCATGAGGGAGTAAGGTGACCTTTAGCTTTGGTTTCCTCCTCTGAAAAAATAGGGACGTAAGGCAACCTACAGGGTTCTAATTGGGGATATAAGGTAACATCATGTACCATGACGACCTTGGTGCCTGCATACAGAGTTCTCAGAAAATGCCATCGCTTACTGCCACTGTCTTGTCATCCCGGCTGCTGCTCCTTCACATTCTTTGTATCTCCTCGGGCAGCTGCTGAGCTTGTAGGTCCACAGTCCTCTGTGCCCTATTCTAACACTGGAAGTGCTAGGACCTGTCTGTACCATTCCTATCATTTGACAGCAGACCTGACCTGATGGATAGAGGAGAGTGCGGCTGATACATTGCACTAGAAGTGTGAGTGTGGTGGAGGAATGCATGGGTGTGATGGGAGCAGCTGTGAGGACAGTGGTAGAGGCCTGGGGCACCCTCTGCTTTAAGGGGTTGCTTCCCTAAGTATCTGCTGGGTGGTGGCTGAGTTGCTTGTGGATGTCCTGCTGTCCTTTGTCCCTTCACCATGACAGGTCACTGGCTGCAGAGGTGAGGGAAGGCTTGGCAGACAAGAGCCTCAGGTGGGGCAGGGAAGGTCTTGATGAATGGGCCAGAAGAGCCTCATCAGCAAGATGGGCTTTGGGCAGTCTGAGGAGGGTTGAAGAGCGAGCAGAGCAGCTGAGCTTCCTGAGGGGAGCCCTTGGGCCCGTGGGGGCCGGGAGCAACTCACAAGACCAGGCGGAAGGACCTGCCAAGGTGTAGTGCCAGTAGCACAAAGGATGGGCTGCAGCTCCCTGTAGGGACACTCACTACAGAAGGAAATTGGTGATAAGGCTGTCCCGGGCAGAGCTGGGCTGCTTTTCTTCTGGTATGGTTGGATGTTTCAGGGGACCCCATGAGGTGTCAGGACTATGCCACTGTGGAAGAGGGTCCTTGGAAGAAGGGTCCTCTTCACTGTTGGGGTACACAACAGCAGTTCTTCAGGTACAAGAGCTAACAGAAGGATGGGTGTTGTGTCCATGCAGGAGTTTGGTGCAGCAGCACCTTACATCCCAGGTTTGCAGGAGGCGCTGGGCTGGTGGCCAGGTAGTACGGACTGGAGACAGGAACTGTAGCTATCCTATTTGACAGTCAGCATTTCAAGCCACTTGATGTCAACATCTGCTCTCTCAGCACTTGCAGTCCATCTGGAGGTTAGGGGTCTTCAGGTCCTGTTCTTCCCAGGGCTTTTGGGTGCCAGGTGGTGGGGTATGAGCCCTGTGAGGCCTGCCTGCTGCTGCCTGTTGTGTCCTGTCTCAGAGGGAGACCAGCTGCACACAGACACATGGACTTGCTTGCAGCAGAGCCTGAGCCCATCAAGGTGGGCAAGGCGGACTTCCAAAAGGTGTGGTGTGACCTGGTCGTGTGGGGGCCGGCTTAGTCCCTGGGCCTGTCCTGTGGTAGGGGCCTGTTGCTCGCCTGACAGGGAGCTTAAGATAACCACCTTATCCTCCCCCTCTCTGTCCTGGAGTCTAAAGTCAGATGGTAGCAGCAGACTAAACTGGCTGCCTGATCTCTGGTGGAGAAGCCCTCCCTGTCTCCTCCTCAGGCATCCCCTGACACCCTTGTTTTCTTGGTGTTGGAGCAGGGCTCCCCTGTAGCCATTTCTGTGTTCACTACTATCTTCTTGGGGATCTGCCTGTGGTGTTTTTTTTTTTTCTTTTTTTTTGGTGTAGGCTCTGCCTGTGTTTTGACAGCTCCCATTCAGGAGGACCCTGCTCTGCCAGCTGAGGATCATCTGGGTGACCTCCCCCAGCCTAATGACCTCTGGAGAGCCTATCTCCAACACATTTTGGTGTAACTGGGGTTAAGGGCTTCAAACACCTCTTTCTGGAGGGACACAGCTGAGTCTGGAACACCCTCGCCAGGCCTCCTGCAGCCTCCCATCTCACTGTTGTCCTGCTCTCCATAGAACCGGGCAGTGGGTCGGCCCAAGGGCAAGCTGGGCCCAGCCTCTGCAGTGAAATTGGCTGCCAACCGAACGACGGCAGGAGCTCGCCGGCGCCGGACGCGATGCCGCAAGTGCGAGGCCTGCCTGCGGACAGAGTGCGGAGAGTGCCACTTCTGCAAGGACATGAAGAAGTTCGGCGGCCCTGGGCGGATGAAGCAGAGCTGCATCATGCGGCAGTGCATCGCGGTGAGTGTGCTTGTGCAGCTGCAGTCGTGCTTGGTCGGGGGCTGAGTGCTCTTCTGAGACTTGGTTCCTGCCGGCATCGTAATCTGGTGATCTGTCTCTTAGCACCTCCCTTGTTACGGCCAGACACTTTCAGGTCCCCTCATTAAAGATGTTAGGGTACTGGGGATTTAGCTCAGCAGAGTAGGGACTGCTGGGGCCAGGCTGGAGAGACAGCTCAGTAGAATAAGTGCATCCCTGGCAAGCACAGGGGCCTGAGTTCAATCCCCAGTTCTGCAAAAAAAAAAAAAAAAAAGAATAGGGACTGCCTGGCAGGCGTGAGGTCATGAGTTTGATTCCTGGTACCAAAAAATAAAGAGAAAAAAATGTTAGAGTAGCCTGTCCTGGGTCTCACCCCATAGCTAACATTTAGTCCATTTCAAGAGGATCTTGGGCCCTTTCCCTCCGGTCTTCCTTCTTGTGGATCAGTGATCCTCCTCATGGGGCCACCCAGATAGAGGAGCATGATCATGGGTCAAAGGAGCTGTGTGTCCCCACTTCAGCAGGCCACCAGCCTTGCTTCAGGGTTGGGCACCTTGGCATGGCCCCTTCTCCACCCCACCACCACATTGCTGTTTCTGGGGTCCAATGGGTAGCCTGTGGGAGTAGACATTCCCTAGTCCCCCTAAAAAGCTGGCTTAGTGGGAGGGACGAGATTGCTGTGCCCCACCTGGTGCAGGGTGGCTGATTCTGATGCTCTTCTGAGCCCAGTGAGCCTTTCCCTTCTTGCATACACTACTGCTTTGTCTTTTGTTAACTTGCGGCTTTTAAAAATATATATACCTCCTATAAAATTTACTGTCTTAGTCCTTTACTACTTTGTAGTACAGTAGTGCTAACTGTATGTGCATGTGGTTGTATAGCTAGTCACTAAAACTTTCATCTTACAAAACTAAAATTTTGGCCAGGTATGGAGGTGCACACCTGCAATCCCAGCATTTGGGAGGCTGAGGCAGGAAAAGATTGCCACCAGCCTGGGATGCACAGTGAGTTTAGGGCCAGCCTGAACTACATAATGAAACCCCATCTCAAAAATAAATAAATAACTAAAACTCGGTACCTATTGAACAAGTATTCCCCTTTTCCTTCTGTCCAGCCCTTGGCAACCAATTCATTTTCAGTTTCCAAGAGCTAACGCAGCACCTCATGTAAGTGGAATCACACCGTTTGGGCTTTTTTTGTCACTGGATTAATATCCTCAAGCTTTATCTATGTGACACTTCTGTTGTTGTTGGCACTGGAGATTGACCCCAGGGCCTTTGCACCAATTTACAGTTTTTTCATTTTGAGACAGGGTCTAGGCTTGGCTTTTCCATCTTTCAGGCTCAGCCTCCCACAGTGCTTGGGATTACAGGCAAGTACCGGTAGGCCTGGATTAGTCTCCTGTCCTGTCCTGTCCTGTCCTGTCCTGTCCTGTCCTTTGCAGTACTGGGGATCAAACTTAGGACATTGTGCTTTCCAGGCAGATGCTTATGCTGCTGAGCTATGTTCCTAGCCCTCTTTCTTTCTTTCTTTCTTTCTTTCTTTCTTTCTTTCTTTCTTTCTTTCTTTCTCTTTCTTTCCTTTCGGTGGAACCGGGGATTGAACTCAGGCCCTTGCACTTGCCAGGCAAATGCTTATTCTACTGCGCTATCTCCCCAGCCCCCTGTTTTTCTTTCTTTCTTTTTTTTTTTTTGGTGGAACTGGGGATTGAACTCAGGTCCTTGTGCTTGCCAGGGAAGCACTTATTCCACTGAGCCATCTTCCCGGCCAATGTTTTTCTTTTAAAACAGGGTTTTACTTTGTAGTTCGTGCTGGCCTCAAACTTGTGGCAGTCTTTCTGCCTCGGTCCCCTGAGTGCTGGGATTACACATATATGCCACCACAACTGGATAAATGGAAAAAAAATTTTTTTTAAACAATTTCACTGTAGTTTAGGCCAATCTTGGACTCACTATATAGCCCATGCTGGGCTTGCATTTGTGGTGATCCTCCTGCCTCAGCCTCTTGAGGACTGGAATTACAGTCATGTCCCATCATAACCAGTGTTTGATTTGATTGATTGATTGATTGATTGATTGATTGATTGATAGTGCAGTGTCTAGCTATGTAGTTCTGGCAGGCCTTAAACTCACACTGTACCCCATGCTGGCCTCAAATTTGTAGTGATCGCCTTCCTCAGCCTCCTAGGTGCTAGGATTACAGGGTTGTGCCACGATACCCAGCTCTGTCTGTTTCTAATAGTTGCTATCCTGGTGTTATTGGGTGTCATCACATGGTGCTGTTGATTTGCATTTCTCTAAGGACTAGTGATACTAAGAATTTTCATGTACTTGTTGGTCATTTGTGTATGTTTTTTTGAGAAATGTCTGTTTCAACAATTTCTTTGGTCATTTTTATGGCATTTTGTTGTTGTGAAGTTGTAGAATTATTCATATATTCTGGTTATTAAACCCCAGGATTCAGTATAGATTATTGTCTTGTGTGTGTGCAGTTTTCTGAAGAAAAAGGTCAGTATGACCCTTTAGATTTGAAGAGGATATTAAGAAGCTTGTCTGGAGACCATTGGTTTGGACAAGTATCACCTAAAACCCACAACAACCCTTTTGTCTTCTCCCCTTGTGACTGGAACCCAGTTACAGGAAACCATTGTGATTGGCCACCTTATCTTTGCAGCTCTCATGCCTGGCACCATGCCTGGCACATGGGCCGTGCTGTCCAGAGTAAACCTATCTCCTGCCCACTCCCCCACCCCTTAGGCTTCTTCAGCCAGCTGGTTCTTCTCTCTCCACCCTTCTGTATCTACCCTGCTGTCCAGCCTTCCCGCCTGCTCTACGTATCTCCCTCCTTCATTCTGTCTCCCCTCGCTTCCTCTGCTGGCCTCCCTCCCCTCTGGTATTTTGCAGCAGCTCTGCTCCTGGTGTCTTCTCATGCGGCCGCTCTCCAGTCTCAGAGTCCATGTCCTGAGCCCAGACCCTCCTCTTGCCACCAGCACTGCCCCCCCCTTTCAGGCCACCTGCCACACCCCCATGCTGAGCTTGGCTTGCAGACCTCACAGGCCTTGCTCACCTGGAGATCCTTCTGCTTTTTTTGTGCCCCTGAACCCTGCAGAAATTGGCTTTGTTGCTTCAGAGCACATGTGAACACAGTTTTTTCATTTCACGTTCTTGGATTTCAGTGAGTTACATCTGTTTTCCCAAATACTTCAAGGAAGACTGCTGTGTCCTCACTTGCACACCCCTCTCCTTATACTGGGCATTAGCAGGTGTTGTTAGGTGATTCTCAGACCATCGATGGCTCTCTTACCTTCAGCGTTCTGTATGGATTCAGATGTCTGTGGCACTTTATAAACTTTCCCACATGCAGGGAAGCATATCCCAGCTTATTTGAGGCTCCTTTGGAGTAGTTTAGTAAAACCTCTGCCCATGCTTCCTCTGAGGTCTGCTGACCAAGCCAGGTGGCCAGATGACCAGGGGCACAGGCCTGATCTGGACCCTGTCCTTGGGCTCTACCGTAGACTGGGTCATCTTGGAGCCTCCTTCTGGTTGTAAAAGCATGAGTACCCCAAAGTGCCCTTGATTATATAGGTTATCTACCTATTATCTACTATATTAAAAATAAACTTAAATTTTTTGGGGGGTGCCAGGAAAGGAACTAGGACCTTGCACTTGCCAGACAGGTGCTGTGCTGCTGAACGATACCCCTGGACCTGAATTTTTAAAATATTTTAAATTGATGTTAAGACTAAGAAGCCCATTACAGGTTCTTAAAATGAAGGTAAAACGTTTTTATAAGAACCAACTCTGGGGGCTGGCAAGATGGCTCAGTGGTCTAAAGCACTTACTTAGAACAAGCTGTAGCAGGCCACAGTTCATTCCCCCAGCACCACATGCCAGCCAGCCCTGCCCCCTGGTGGGCTGAGCTGGCCACACACACACACACACACAAATAAATTTTGTTTTAAAAAAAAAAAGAACCAACTCCGGAGGGACTGGGGAGATGGCTCAGTGGAATAAGCGCTTCCCTGGCAAGTGCAAGGGCCTGAGTTCGATCCCCGGTTCCGAAAAAAA